GCACCAACCCCCACTCTGTCAATGGGGAAACTGAGGCACGGAGCCCTGCCCTGCCTTCGCCCGTGGCTGGCCCACCAAAACCCCCTCCATGGCCCCTGAAGACCTCCACTATCCTGGTGGAGGGGGCTGCAGCACTGGGGGGGCTGAAGGGGATCCCCGCATCTAGTGGGAGATAAAGTGAGGACCCCTGTCTGGAGCCCCCCCCGGGATGCATCACTGCAGGGTGGGAGATGCACCCCTGGGTGTGCCCAATGTCACCTGCTGCCCAATGACCTGGGACACCCTGGGGTGGGGGGTGTGGGGGGGGGGGCTCTGCAGGCTCCGCCTGGCTCTGGGGAAGGCGTCTTGGGGGTGCCAGGGAAGGGTCCCTTCTGGCTGGCACTTCCCCTTCTACGCTGGGAGAAGATTTTGCAACCTCGCTTCCTCCCTGGGTGGCATAAAGCGGGCGGCGGAGGGAAGGGGTGCCAGGAGGCGGCACGGTGGCAGGCACAGGTGAGGGACCCTCCGGCTGGCCTGGTGGGACCCCCAGGGCTGTTTGCAGCCACGCTCTGTGCCAGAGCCCTTTGGGGGTGACACCTGGATTTATCCCCGTGCCTGGGTGCTTCCCGGTGAGAGCCTGATTGGGACGGAGAGAAGACCCCGGATTTTGGCAGACGGTGACAGCAGCAAGCGGTGAGTCCCTGGGGTGCTCCACTGGAGATCGGGGCTTTCCTTGGCTCCCCCAGCACCTGGCTGAGCCCCCTCACACATTGAGCGGGGTGGGGTGGGGGCCGGGGTGGGCTGCTCTGGCTGACCCAGGGGCTGTCTGGTGCGGGGGGAGCAGGAGGCAGTGGGTGGGGGCACCCAGGGCTTTCCTCAGGAGCTCGTCTGTGGTGCAAACCCCCTGCAGACCCCAGGGTCATCAGCCATGGGTGACCTGGGGGGGAAGCGCCCGCTCTCATTTCCTCGCACAGTGATGAGCCGGGAGGGTGCTTCTCCATGGCGTGTCCCTCCTTCCTCCCTGTGGGGACCCGCAGGGCCACCCCAGTGTCCCCCAGCCCTTTCAGGGTCAGGAGGGGAAATGGGGTGCTGCTTGTTCCCCTCAGCTGGGCCAGCTGCAGGGTACCTGTGGGTGGAGGACACCCAGTCCTGGAGGAACTGCTGGGATTTTGGAGTGGGGAGACAGAAATAAGCAGCCAAAAATAGATGGAGGGGAAGCGCTGGTGTCCGACTCTGCCCTGTGCCCACGATGGCCCCACTCGGAGGGACCTTCCCCCACCAGCACCAGCAGTGTCCCTGCCTGCAGTCCTCTGGGATGCTGCAGTATCACCATCCGGGGAACAGCACCCCAGGATCACCATCCCAGGATCATCTCAGGAGTGGGTCCAGCAGAGCCAGCGAGGGATTTTTCCAGGCGGGGGCACCAGCCCAACTGCAGTGGGGAATCCCCGCACAGCAGAAAGGGAAAGTTGGTCCCAGGGAAGGTTTGGGTTAAAATGGGGCTGGCTTGGGGCCAGGGACCCCCCAGCACTGTGGGGTCTTAGCACCCCCAAGCAGCCTTGGCATCACCAAGCCCTGGAGGGGCTCAGGGGCTCGGAAACGGGGCAGAGGGGTGAAACTGTAATGAAACGAGAGTCTGGATCTGTACTGGGAGAAGGCTGAAACCCAGTGCTCTTTGTGGAGGCAGGGACAGAGCAGGGTGTCCTACAGGAGGAGACAGAAAAAGCGACTGTCACCTGTGATTTCCCCATCACGGCCAAGCACAGCGGACACGGGGACGCCCGACAGCACCCAGATGAGCAACAGGAAAACCAGAGACGTGAAATATTTCCAAAGCTGCCTGCAAAGGGTGACACGTCTTTCCGTCAGGGGGGTGAAATCACTCACGCAGGGACAGGACCGGGAGGGAGGGGGGAGTGGAGAATGACATGAAACCACCTTCAGACCTTCTTGAGTCCCCGCCTGCCCCAAGCACTGTGACCACAGCCTTGCCACTGGTTGGGGTGGCGGTGATGCTTGAGAGAATGGGGAGGCTCAGAGGACTGTGGAGGTGCCCCAGGAGCCCTGAGATGCCTGAAGAGCTCAGAGGGTTTTGAAGGACCCACACAAACTAGAGGGACCCAGGGATGCTGGAGGGGCCAGGTGGAGGGACGTGATACTGCGCTGATGGGGGAGACCCCAACCCAAAGAGAGGTAGCTGGTCTGTGGGGGAACCCTTTCCTCTATGGGGGACAGGGTTGGGATGAGTGGAGCAGACCAAGGAGTGCTGGGGTTGTTGTACAAGGGGATGTATGAGGGACAATGTCCATCTGCAGCCCTGCCCATTACCTGGCACAGCCTGGACACGGGGCGTGGTGGAGCAATGGAGGAGGGCTGCCCACCGACTGGGAGAGGACCTGCCAGGGGACCCAGAGACACTGTCATCCCTGGCTGACCCCACCCTCCCACCCCATGCTCATGGTGCTTTGTGCTCCACAGGCAAAATGGAGTCCTTCTCCTTCAACGGGGATCTCTCCAACCTCTTCTCCCTCTACAACTACACCTATGACTACAGCACGGCCATGCCTGATACCGCTATCTCCTCCGCCCCATGCCGGCCCGACGGCTCTGTCCTCAACAAGTACCTGGTGGTGGTGATCTACTGCCTCGTCTTCATCCTCAGCATTGTGGGGAACGGGCTGGTGGTGCTGGTGGTGACCTCCACTCACACCAATCGCTCCGTCACCGATGTCTACCTGCTCAACCTGGCTGTGGCGGACCTGCTCTTCGCCTTCAGCCTGCCGCTCTGGGCTGCCTACCGAGCCCACGAGTGGGTCTTTGGCACTGTGATGTGCAAAGCCATCTCCGTGCTGCAGGAGGCCAACTTCTACAGCGGCATCCTGCTGCTGGCCTGCATCAGCGTGGATCGTTACCTGGCCATCGTCTACGCCACCCGGGCTGCCACCGAGAAGAGGCACTGGGTGAAGTTTGTCTGCTTGGGCATCTGGGTCTTCTCCGTGCTGCTCTCCCTGCCCGTACTGCTCTTCCGTGAGGCTTTCCCCTCGCCCAGCAACGGCACCGTGTGCTACGAGCGCATCGGTGATGAGGACACGACCAAATGGCGGGTGGTGCTGCGGGTCCTGCCGCAGACCTTCGGCTTCGCCCTGCCCCTCCTGGTGATGCTCTTCTGCTACGGTGTCACCATCCACACCCTCCTGCAGACCAAGAATGCCCAGAAGCAGCGGGCCATGAAGGTCATCTTCGCCGTGGTGCTGGTCTTCCTCATCTGCTGGCTGCCCTACAACATCACGTTGGTGAGCGACACCCTCATGAGGACGCGGGCCATTGCTGAGACCTGCGAGAGGAGGAACCGCATTGACACGGCCCTCTCTGTCACGCAGGTCCTGGGCTTTGCCCACAGCTGCATCAACCCCATCATCTACGCCTTCATTGGGCAGAAGTTTCGCAACAGCTTCCTCAAGATCCTGGCGCAGCGCGGGCTCATCAGCAAGGATGCTGTGGCCCGCTACGGCCGCACCTCCTACGCCTCCACCTCTGGCAACACCTCCACCACTCTCTGAGCCCTGCTGGGACCCGGCCCTCATGGCTCCCATCAGTTCCCAGCACCCGACACACCCCAGCATCCTCACCCAGCCCCCTGGGATGCAGGCGGTGGTGCCGTGGGGATGGGCAGGGCCACCACTGAATGTTGGACTCCAGCTGGAAGTAGGCTTGGGCAGCAAGAGGGTAGGACCCCATTGCCAGGGGAGTCATGCCGAGCACTGCCCACCCTCCCCACTCTTTGGGGTAGAGCCTGTGACTTCAGGGACCCCGTGACCCCGCTGTGGGAATGGCGTTTGTGGCTGACAGTTGTCCAGCAATAAAGGAGTTGGCAGGTTGGTCGCCCAGGTCTGGCTCCTCTTTCCCATGGGGAGGGGGACAGCGTGACAGGGTGCATCTCCGGGGATGGTGGGTCTTGGGCTCCCCACCTCAGTGCCAAAGTGGTGGTGCCAGCTGAGCCTGGCGGGGTGTGGGTAACCCCACTTTCAGACCAGGGAAGGGCTGTTACCCAAGAGGCTGTTGCAGAGAGTTCGTCAGCTTGTGCGTCCCCAGAAGGAACCCAAACTCGGGTCTTGGCTCCCACAGCCACCCAGCCAGGTCCTGACACTTCCCCAGTGCAGGGATCTCCACGAAGCATCTGTCCCACCTGGGAACAAAGCCACCCCCTTCCTGACACCAATCCGAGCCCCTGTGGAGCAAATCACTGCAAGATGCCTGGGCAGCCCTTTGCTGACACTGAGCCAGCCCTGTGACCCCTGCCCTGAAGGGTGCTGGCACCCAGAGCACCCCCTTCCCCCCCGGCACTGTGGTGCCAGGACATCGTTGTGCAAAGGGCTGGGAACCTGTCCCTTACACAACCGGGACGTTTCCGCCCCAGCTTGGGCAACCGGGGCTGGCACCAGAGTGGGGCAAAGGGGCTGAAGAGGTGGCTGTGACCTTGCTGGGGTCCCCCCTGCCACCCTATGTGCCAGGTATCAGGGTGCCTGTCCCAGCATGCCCAAGCATCTCTCCATGGAGATCCCATACTGCTTCTCCATCCCCCCTGCTCCAGGCTTCTGGGGGTCCTTAACTGTGGGGGGGCATCAGTGGGTGCCAGCTTTGGGCTGGCCTGGGGGTGGGTACGGGGGTCCCATGGCACCCATGCTGGGAGCCCTGGCGACTCAGGGCTGGGCAGGCTCAGAAGGGGTGCTGGGCAGGGACAGCCCATCACCTTTGCATCTGGGAAACCTCTTGCTCAAGTGGTTCCTCACAGCCTGGCAGGAAGCCGGGGCTGTTGGCCAAGAGCCGTCTCCCCTGCCTGGCTGCTGCCTCCCCGCTGTGGGACGGGGCAGACAGTGTCTGGCTGCAGCTGAGGCAACACTTATGGGGACAGATCCCCCCCAGGAGGGCTTGGACACCCCCATGCCAGCATTCCGCCACTCTGTGCCTGGCTTGGGGGTGAATCCGGCAATGACCGATAGATGACACAGGAGACACAGGGATGGCAGGATCGGGTTGTTTTCCTCTCTGTGGACCAGCCACAAGAAAGACACGTCTCAAACCCAAAATGTTGGGCAGCAGGACCTGTCTGCAGGCCCCAGCCGCCGGGGTCCCTGGTAAGTTCGAGAGGAGGCAGCCAGGGCAGGGGGTGTCCCACGATGGTGTGAGGGCTGCGGTCACGGCTCATGTAGCCTGTGGGTGCCTTTGCTGGTAGCAAAGCAGGCAGCAGCGCCCCTGCTTGCCCACGTCCACGGAGCACGTGTGGCATACCTTGCCCTGGCACAGACTGCCAAGAGAGCGGGCAGTGAGAGCCGTGCCATCCCACTGCCATGCCAGTGCCAGCCCCAGTGCCCCCCGTAGCCCACCTGCAGTTGTACCGTCGGGAGAGGAGGCGGAAATCCTTGTGGCAGCGGGCGCAGAGCCCTGCATCGCGGGGCACCGGGCTGGGCATCGGGGTGTCAATGCCCTCCGTCTTTTGCCACAGGGCATCCTTCTCCCTGTGGGAGAGGACAGACAGGTCAGCCCTGGCAGGAGCATGCCTGGTGCCGGGGGTCCAGGAGCACGCCCTGGCACCCCAAACCCAAGGGGGGGGCACCTAATTCTCCCAAGGCGGTGAGCGGGATTCTCTTGGGCTCTGGTGCCCTCGTGTGGGCCCTCCAGCCCACGTGTGGTCCCGCACCAGTGGGGTCCCCGGGGCTCTCACCGCAGCAGCTCCAGCAGCCGCCCCTTCATGTCGCGGATGAGCTCCTGCTGCCGTGCCTGCTCGGCACCGCGCGTGGCTTCCCGCTCCAGGGCCTCCCGCTGCGCCCGCTGCAGCGCCGATGCCCAGCGCTCCCCGTCCTGCTGGGCCCTGCCGTGGGGCAGCAGGGAGATGGTCCCCCCATCCCTCAGCCAGTCGTCTCTCCTTCCCTCCTTCCCTCCTTCCCTCCTTCCCTCCTTCCCTCCTTCCCTCCTTCCCTCCCTCCCTCCCTCCCTCCCTCCCTCCCTCCCTCCCTCCCTCCCTCCCTCCCTCCCTCCCTCCCTCCCTCCCTCCCTCCCTCCCTCCCTCCCTCTATCCACCCCCAAGCTGGCTCCCCATCCCCACAGCCACCTTGCCATCTCCTGGGCCAGCCACACATCCATTTCCCAGCAGTTCATCCGTCATTCCCCACACGCGTTCCTCTGGCCTTCTGCCCACCTGCCCATCCATCTACTCACCCCAAATTCACTCCTCTGTGCCTCCATCCACTTGTCCCAAATTCAGCCCTCCATCCCTCTGTGTGCCCACCCATCACTCCATCCACCCCTCCATCCCTCCATCCCAAATTCATTCTTCCACCCCCCTGCCTACCCACACCTCCACCTACCTATCAGTCCACAAATTGACATCTCCCTCCAGCCCTCTCTTCCCAAACCCTTTCCTCTCTCCCCCTGCCCATCCCCAGGTGCTGCTCCCCTGGGTCCACCTGGAGCATCATGGAGGGCACCCAGGGAGGGACCCAGGGTGGGGTGGTGGGACTGGGGGGGTCCCTGCCTGACCTGCTGAGCTGTTCCTTCAGTCGCGCCATCTCCTGCCGCTGGGCCTGGAGCTGCTGCCGGCTCTGCCAGGCTTCCTCCCGTGCCGCGGTGGCCAGCGTGGCCAAGCGCTGTGGGAGAGCGGGGCTCAGCCCTGGCTTCCCACCCCCCCGCCCCACCGTGGGGTCCCCTTGGGCTTGCCCATACCATGGCCATGCTGGTGGCTGTGCTGAGCTCCCCCTCTGCCTGGGGGTCCTCCAGGGGCTCCTGGGGGCCGCAGGCGAGCTCCAGCGCCCGCCTCAGCACCTCCTCCACGGCTGCCACGTCGCCTGGGGCACCAGCATCCTCCAGCGTGTCCGTCCGTCCTGCCGCCTGGCAGTCCCGCAGGCGCGAGGCCAGCGCCGCTGCCTCCGCCAGCGCCCCGGCCAGCCGGGCACCCCGCTCCTCCGCCGCCTCCCGCCAGCCCCGCGCCTCCTCCTGCGCCCGCGCCAGCTCCCCCGGGCCCCCCGCTGCCACCGCCGTGGCCAGCGCCTGCCCGAGGAAGACGTTGGCCTCCCGCAGCGCCTCAGCCTCGTGTGCCCGCAGCCGGGCCTGCCGGGCGCTGCTCTCCTCCCGCCGCCGGTGCCGCCGCTCCTCCTGCTCCAGCCGGGCTGCCAGCGCCCGCGCCGCCGCCTCCCGCTGCCCCAGTTCGGTCTGCAGCTGGGACACCCGTGCCCGCAGGGACGCCTCCGTCCCGCCTGGCTGTCCAGGCACTGGTGGCAGGGAGCCCGGCATGCGCTCCATGCCAGGCGGCGGGGATGAGCCGGGCTCCCCGTCACCATCAGGCTGAGGGGTTTTGCCAGTGCCATGCGTGCCCTCCAACTCCTCTACATCCGCATCCTCCATCTTCTTTTCATCCTCCAACTCCTCTTCATCCTCCTTTTCCACATTCTCCTCCACATTCACATCCTCCTCCATGTCCACCTCCACATCCTCCACCTTCTCCTCAACCTCCTCCTCCTCCTCCACCTCCTCTTCATCCTCCTTTTCCACATCCTTCTTCATCTCCAGGTACTCCACCTCTACACCTCCTGCCTTCAGGGCAGCCAAAGAGGGTGGGCACGAGTGGGCTAGCACCCCACAGGCTGCCTCGGTGGGATGGGTGATGCCGTCGGGCCATCCATGCGCCCCAGCGCCAGTGTCATCTGTCTGCCGGGCCATCTTTGCTGAGCTGCTCCTGGCCACCGGGCTGGGCCGGACCAGTGTCCTAGAGGGGACACGGGGCTCAGGGCCACCAAGTCACCCCCAGGGTGAGTGGGACACTGCCAGCCTCCCTCAGGGCTCCCTGGCCACAGCTCAGCCTTTGGGGATGGAGAGGGCAGCAAGGCTGGTGACACCGAATAGCACTTGGTGACAGGGGAGGAGAGGTGGTGGTGCCACCAGTCTGGGTGCCCACAGAGCAGTTGGCACCCAGAGGCCCCCGTGGTGGTTGCAAGGGAATTGGGGGCTGAATGTGTGCTTGTGGCAGGGCGTGCACACGAGTGTGCGAGCAGCAGAACAGGCGTGAGCGTGCCGGAGTGGCTGCATCCATGAGTGCCCCCCTGCAAGTATGCTCAGGGGCAAGGGTGTGCACGCACACCCGGTGTCTCAGATGTCACAGTGTCGCCGTGTTGCAGCAGACCTGTGCCTGGGCACGTACTTGGCAGAGGACAGCGGTGTTTATGTATGTGCATGCACGCATGGCATGTTTGCAGGCACGGGCACAGCGTGCATGCTGGCACGGGTGTCTGTGCATGCTTGGGGTCATGTCTGGAGGGTTGGCACGGCTGGGGTGCCACGTGGGGCAATGCCTGTGTGCTGCTCTGCGATGCTGGGCCCCAGGTGTCCCTGATGCCCCTGGAACCCTCAGTGTCCCCAGTGCCCCCAGTGCTCCCTGCATCCCCAGGCTCACTCGGAGAACATGGGCCAGGCGGTGTCCAGGTCAGCCCTGCGCAGGGCCAGGTGGAAGGTGACACCGTCCAGCTCATAGAGGCTGCCCAGGATCTCTTCCCGGTGCTGGGGGCTCAGGAAGGGGCTGCGGGCGTAGTACCACTCGCTGCAACCACAAAACAGGCTCACGTACCCCTCCATGCCCCAGGCAGGCGCACACGCCTGCAGCACCCTTGCCAACCAGGTGCTGCAGGGCACTGCCCGCCCTGGCCGTGCCCCCCGCCACCACGAGCATCCCCTCCCCATGCGCCCTGCTCTCACCGGAGGCTCTCGGGGTCGAGGAGGCAGAGCTGCAGGGACTCTGCCAGCTGCCGGTGCACCAGGCAGTACCGCAGGAAGGCTCGGCCCCTGCCCACGGGGGTCTTCAGCTGGGGGGAAGAGGGAGTTATCCAGCCCTGCCATGCCAATCTGCCTCCCCATGCCTCCCTTCCAGCCCATGCAGGAGCAACGAGCGTCCCCAGGGCCAGGGCTGGGGGGCAGCGGGGACCCCAGAGGGAAGAAAATCCTTTATAGCACCAACGGGCAAATTTTCAGTGCCCAAGTGTGTGCCTGTACACAAGTGTGTGTTCACCCACAATTAAGCAGGTGTGTGCACGAGCCCCCAGGCGCCCCGCCAGCCTGTGCCCACCTTGTCCAGGGAGGTGACAAAGCGAACGCCCTCGTGCTCCTGCCGGCGCCGCGCCAGGCCCTGGCACAAGAAGTCCCAATAGTCCTTGCGCTGCCCGAAGAAGCTCTTCTTCTCCTTGAGGTCGAACTGGCAGAGACACAAGCTTGGGCTTGCAGGGTGTCCCCTGTCCCCTCAGCCTGTCCCCTGTGGGGCTGGGAGCCAGCCAGATTCCCCAGCAGGGTGGGTCCTGCTGTCCCCTGGCTGACTCCTCTTTGCTGGCTCTGCGTCTCAGTTTCCCTTTTGCAGCGCACGCAATTAAACATCCAGACATGGGTGAGGCTGGTCGGTGTGCTCACATGGCTGGGGATGCCCAGGGCTGGACAGTGATGGCTGGGGTCATCCCACCTCCCAAAACAGCTGGTGTGGGGTCTCCTCTGATCTCAGGGGAAACTGAGGCAGGGAGCAGCGGGGACAGAGGATCAGGTGTACCTGGAGAAGGAACTCCAGCTGGGCACAGAGGCTGTGCAGCTCCCGGCTCCCATCTGTCACCGGCAGGTTCTGCTCACGGTAGCTGCGGTTCAGTTCGGCCACAGTCTCTGTGGGACGGTGGGGCTGAGCTGGCATGGCCCTGCCCAGGCAGCGGGCACCCTGCCCCATCCCCCCCGACCCTCCGTCACCCCCCAGCTCCCGGCCCGGGGGATTTCTGCCAGCGGGTGAAAGAGGAACCTGCCCTGGGATGGAATGGGGGAGCAGGGGGAGCAAAGCCACGGGTACCCACTGGGCACTGCCGGTCCCCTGGGGGCTGGCAGCAAGGATGGGAGCAGGCAGCAGCGTCAGGGTTGGCACTGGGATGCCCTGGAGCACCCCTGGCAGTGACACCCCCCCCGCTGTGCATGGGCTGGGTGTGAGGAAGGAGCCGGCATGGCCAGGGTGAGCTGTGCCATGCAGGGGACACGCTGTCAGGGGGACAGGCTGGCACACTTACTCTGCAGGTCCTTGATGATGCGGTTGAGCTCCCCATCCCCTGCCATGGCTGTCCCCGGGGGTCTGCAAAGACAGGGGCAGCGATGAGAGGTGCCAGGCTGGCACTCACCTGGCACCCCCAAACTCTTTGCCCCAAGGAGAGGATCTGCCCCCTCCTAGCTCTACCCCAGAGCTGCCTGCTGTTAAGGTAAGAGGGGGAGGGCTCAGGCACCCCTTTTCCCTGCCCATGTCCCCCCACTACAGGGGGTAGGGGGTATGAGGTGGGCAAAGGTGCCTCAGTCTGTAACCCTGTAGTTGTTTGTGTGCCCTGTCCCAAAATGCCCCCACACTATGCTCAGCCTCTGCCCCCCCATTCCTTGAGGGCCTCCTGCAGCTGAGCTGCCTCCCCCCAGCATGTCCCTGTCCTTGTCCCTGTCCCTGTCCCCCAGGATTCAGGATGTGGGTTTGGCGTGGGGGAAGCGCTGCCTTTGCTTCTGCTCTCGCTTCCCTCACTCAAACCACAAACAGTGTGGGGTCTCCTAGGGAGGCAAGAAAGGGGGGCACACAGCCCCTGACTTGCAGCCCCCCCAAACTGAGCTCTGCCCCAGGCAGAGCCCCCTGGCACAGCATGCTCCCTGCAGGGCTGGCACAGGGTTTGGGGGTGTTGTGGGTATGGGGTGGGGGGCTAGGGAGCACAGTGCAGAGGGGCAGTTTTTGGGAAGCGGTGGGTAGCACCCTGTCCCCAGGGTGTGGGACAGAGTCCCTGGAGGTGGCAGGTCCAGGACTTGTCACCGCAGGCAGTGGTCGGGCACAGGGGAGCACACGTGTGTGTGCATGGGGTTGTGCACAGCAGGGTGGGTGTGCGCTCACAGGAGTGTGTGTGCCCAAGCGTGCCCAAACGTGCCCAAGCATGCGTGGGTGCCCTGTGCCCCCTGCCACAGCAGTGGCTCAGCAGGCAGAGCAGGACATGGGATCCCGGACGCCTGGGTTCCCGTTCCAGTGACCTTGGGTGACCTCGGTCAAGCTATCTTCTTGCTTGCCCACCCTGCCCGTGCCTCAGTTTCCCCCTGGGAGAGGAGCCTCTTACCTGTGGCCAGGAGCCGTGGGGTGACCTGAGGCACTCGCTGGGTGCCCGGGGGATGCTGCCGTGTCCCTGGGCCCACGCTGCACCCGCCTGTTTCTTCTTTTGTACCTTGTCCAGGAGGAAGTGTGGAAGGTCGGGAGGGGCCAGAGGAGCCACCCCTTGCCCGCCCTGAATCACATCAGGCATCGCTGCCTGGCCCCCTGGCACCCAGCTCCCCAGTTTGGGGAGTGCCATTTCTGGGGAGAGGGTCAGGGAGGCTGGTCCCCCTGTGCAGCCTCTGTGGGGTGGGGAAGGAGAGCACCAAGCCTGGGGGGGACCTTGATGCCCTCCCATGAGAATGAGGCTTGGGAAGGCTTTGAGGGACCCCTCTGCAGTTTTTGGGGAGGGGGTCCAGAACCCACACCCAGCTAGCAACAGCCAACAGCACTCCTGGGGCAGCAGCAGCCCCAGGCACAGAGTGCCCCCACCCCACACAATAGCCCCCAGGGGCAAAAACCCTCGGTATGGAGATCCCCCCCAGGAGCTGCAGCCCACCCCAGCAAAGCCCACAGCCCCTTCTGGGTGTCTGCCCCTTATATGGTGGCTCTGCCCAGAGCCAGGGTGCAAAATTCGGCTCCCCCCTCCTTGCCATCTATGCCTGGGGGGTCCCCAGCCCAGCAATGCCCTTTGGCCACTGTGCCTGTCCCCCTTTTCAGTGCCAGCCTTTTCCTGTGGGCTCCTTCTGGGGTGGGAACTAAATCCCTTGTAGGAGGACTGGGGATGATTCCAGCTCACCCCCCGCAGTGCCAGGCATGGGGACCCACTGCCATCCCAGTCCCCACCACCATCCGGCTTGGTGGATGCTTCCAGTGACACCCGGCTGCCCCCACCTCCTGCCCCCCACTGTGCCCCTGCTCGCAGCACCCTCTGCCCCCTACCTGTGCCACCCGGGGGGCCTGGGGGGCACCCGCCTCCCCCAGGCCAGGCCTCGTCTCGGCACCAAAGCGAAAGTAGGAAGTGATGCTGAGTGGCAGCCTGGGCCTCCCCGCACCCTCCTGGCTCCCAGAGAGGGGGGTGGTGTTGGGCTGTGGGGTGCCCTCGAGCAGCTGGGGGGTATAGGGGAGCCGGTGGCAGTGCTCGGCATGACCCCCAGCCTCCCCATCATCCCCTTAACCCACTGTGGGCATGGAGCACAGCACCCCACAACAGATTTGGGGGGCGGAGGGTGGACAGGGTGTTGGAGGGGTGGTGGAGCATCACTGTGCTGGGGGGGGGGGGTGGGATGCATATGCGTGTGCATGCATGTATGCGATTGCACGCGTGTGCAGGCTGTGTGTGGACGGCTATAGGGGTGTGTGTGCACCTACATACGTGTGGCCGTGGGGCTGAGAGGGCACCCATGTGTGCGCACACACACGGGCGTGCGCCCACAGTTGCACCCACCCGCCAGCACCACCTGCCCCATGCCAGGCACCCCACCGGCAGGACCTTGACACCCGCAGGGAGGGGCTGTGCCCCTGCCCACCCCTCGCTGGGGTGGGTGCCACTGCAGTGCCTTGGCAGTGGGTTCCCCCACCCCTGCCCCAGCCAAGGGCCAGGGAGGGGTTGCTGGGGGCTGGGGGCGGGGGGGGGGAAGAAGACGCCCGCCCGTCCTTGGCGCGGGTGCAATTCAATTAACGAGGCCTGGCCCTTGTTCAGCGCAGCCAATAAAGCTAATGGCCCCCGCACAGGCCTGGTGCTGCCCGGCGGGGGGGTCTGGGGGCCATCTGCTAATTAAACCAGGGTGGGGGACGATGGAGCCAGCGGTGATGTCACCTCCCTGGTGCTCAGTGGGGGGGGTGGGCTGTACCCTGGCACCCCCTGCCCACCAGCCCTCTGCCAGCCCCAGGGTACCAGGTAGGTCTGTGGGGGACAGCCATGAAGTGGGTGGGACCCCCCTGAACTCCCTACCCCCTGCACCCCTCCCTGGCGCTGCCGCTCGTTAGGAGCCTTCCTGAGGCAAATGCAATTAGTGCCCAGGCCTGGCACGGCTGCTGCCCACGCTTGGCACCAGCAGCTGCCCCACGGGGACCGGTCCTTGCCTGGCATCACCGTAGCATTGCGGTGGCATCCGGGGGTGCTGTTGCCAGCCCCCCTTGGCACCACCCTGATGGGTGCGGGACGGGGGGGGGGTGTGGGGTCCCCAGTGCAGCTGCAGGGTGAGTGCACCCCATCCCCGTGCCAAGTGCAAGCCCCGTGGCGGGGTGGGTGTGCCTGGAGCCGTGGTGGGGTGTCCTGTGGAGAGGGGGTCCCCTGGATAATGCTGTGCCCACGGCACAGCACATCAGCCAGTCTCCCTTTAGAGAAAGAACCCTACTCGGGGAGAGGAGGGGGTGTTGAGTAGGGGGTCCCTAAATGTGTCCTGAAGCTTCTGGGAAGGGGAGAGACTTGGTAGGGTGCTGGGGGGGGGCTGGCAGAGGGGCAGGAAATCCTCACTATGTGCAGCCACTGCCATTTAGGGGCTGGGGTGGGCAAGGGGTGCTGGAGGGAAACTGAGGCAGGGTTGGGGTGGGGAGGGGGGGGGGGGGCCGTGGGCTGAGCTGTGATCAAACCTAGGAGTCAGAGCTTCTCCACCCCTAAGCCAGAGGGAAGGGGTGGGGGTGGGAGGGTGGCACTGTTAGGGTCCAGCATCCACCTCAGGGGTTGCTGTGCCTGGAGGCAGGCAGGTGAGCCCAGGGGGCGGGGGGGGGGTGCCGAGCCCCGTGTGCAGCAGGGAGGGAGGAGGAGGAGGAGGAGGAGGAGGAGGAGGAGGGGGGAGCGTGGCGGAGCTGGCTCCCACCCAAGCACTGCAGGACATGGGCGGGCACGGTGCTCCCTGCTTGGCTGCCAGCGCGCAGGCGACGCTGGGGGACCAGCGTGGGGGACAGGGCCCGGTGGGACGGCAGCCCCCCACCCGCACAGCCCCCTGCCCACCGCCGGGCACCTCCTGGGCACTGCCCGGGCACCGGGGCTTGTTGCAGCTTTGTTGGAGAGGTGGGGGGGGGGGGGGCACGGCTGGATTTGGCTTCCCTCCCGAGTGTGCCCTGGGCAGGGGTCTGCCCCTGCAACACCCCCCCCTGCCCCGGTCGGGTGACCCCCGGGCAGGGGCACCATGACCCGGCTGGGCTGGTGCTTTGCCACCTTGTTTCGCTGGGGGAAGTCCTTGGTGTCCTGCCTCTTGCCCCTCCGCGCCTGCCGCCACCGGGAGGTAAGCGGGCACCGCCGGGCACGGTGTTAGGGTTAGGGTCTGCGGGGGGGGGGGGGGCATGGAGATGGAACGGGCTGCCGGGGGGGTGCAGGGAAATGGGGGTACAGGCTGGCGCTGGCCCTGCCTGCTGAGGGCAGCGGGGGGTGAAACCGCGCGTATGCATGCCGGGCTGGCGGGCATGTCCTCTGTCTCTCTTTGTGTCCCCCCCTCCCAGTGTGGCACTGTGACCCCCTCCACCCTACAACCAGCCCCCGCGGGCCCCTGCAGTGCCTGGCTGGAGGGGATCTGCTGGGACCTGCCATACAGCGTTTCACGCAAAGGGATCTGCTGGGATCCCTGTGTCCTTACAGAACGAGCACAGAGGCAGGGGGTGTCCCTGTGTCCTTACAGCACCCACAGCGAGGGGACCCCTGTTCCCATAAATCATCCACCACGAGGAATCCCTGTGCCCATAAAGTGCCCAGTGTGGGGGATCCCTGCGCTCATAAGCAGCTGGCACTGGGGAGCTCGGTGCTCATAAAGTGCTCGGCCTGTGGGGGGGAACTCTGTGCCCAAAAAAGTGCCCATCATGAGGGACCCCAGTACCTGTAAGCACCCGGTGTGGGACATCTCTGTGCCCATCAGCACCTGGTGTGTGTGGGGGATCCCTCTGCCAAAGGACTGCCCTGCACGGGGGATCCCTGTGCCCAGGCAGTGCCCGGCATGGGGACCCATCCTGTTCTACCACATATGCCCTGGGGAAACTGAGGCAGGGAAGGGGGAGAAGTTGGCGGAGGGCATAGGGCTCTCACTGTGCCACCCTCATTTGGTTCCTTAATCTTTGGAAAGCTGCCCCGTGCCCAGCGGGGTGGCATGGACCACTCCAGCTGCACCGTGCCAGCAAAGTGGGTGCCAAAACCTGGCAGCACCTGGGGGAGGTGTCACTGCAGGGTGGTGAAAGGCCAGTATGTGCCAGGGCAGGGACACAGCCCGGAGGAGGAAGAGGCCCCTGGCTGCCTGGGGACCCCAGCGTGTGCTGGGGTCACAGGACCGCGAGCTACCGGGGGCACAGGGGGGTGCTCAGGGCTGTGGGTGGGTGCACATCAGGTCTCTGGGGAGCCAGTGTGTATGTCAGGGGAGTGGGTGTGAGATGTGTGTGTCCTGTGCACCTAAGGGCACTGCTGGAAATGGGTATGGGGGCCTTGGGGACACGGTGACCTCAGGACGGGGGACACAGAGGACTGCCTGCACTGGGGCCACATGCCTGTACCTGTGGTACCCGTGGGGGGGGCTGTCCCTGGGCTAAGTGCCCCTGTCTGCGCCTCCCCCACTGAGAAAATGAGCCCTAAATAATTCTCACAGGCAGTGTCCCTGTGTTCACCCTGTCCCTGTCGCATGACCCTTGTCCCTGCCCTTCCGAGAGGTCCAGGCTTGTCACAGCATTGGATGGGAGGGGGTGATTTATGGAGGTGGAGACACCCCTCTGCACCGGGGCTTTCATTTGTGGGCAGTAATGAGGCTGATTAATGAGAGCTGTAATGATGGGGGGAGTGCATGGACGGGCGCTCCCTGCCTGTTTGGTGCTGTGAGCAGGATTGGGCCCCCCAGCCTCCCTCCACCCCCGGGCCTAGCTGGCATGGGGGGGCAGGATTGCTGTCTCCATCTGTCCCCTGTCCCAGCTGGCACCTCCCCGCAGGGGTACCTTCACCATGGGGTGGGTGGGCACAGTGGCATGGTGGGGCAGAGGGCAGTGGGACGGGGATATTTTGGGGGGGGAGTGCTGCACTTTGAAGGGGTCAGCTGCCACCCCAGCACCTGGGAAAGGCAGCCCACCCACCCCATCCCACCCTGCCCGTCCTCTCTGGGCTGGCAGCTGTATGCAGCGGCCAGATGGGAAACTGAGGCACGGGGAGGGGGAGGGATTACAGTGCCCACGTCCCCACCGTGCCCATGTCCCCATGCCAGACGTGGCTTGTCCTGCTGGTGTGTCCTTCCCCCCCCCCCCGGCACGTCCCCCACCCTGACTCACACCGTCATGGTCACGGCCAGCTGAGCACAAGTTTCCAGCCTGGAGACAGAGTCAGCGCTGGCGGTGGTGATGGTGGTGGTGGGGAGAAGGGACTGTGTGCTGCCCAGCCAAGCCCCCCCCGGAGGGGCTGGGGCACCCCCTCTGCCAAATCCATCCCCTTCAGGGCTGCGGGCTGCCAAGGTCCCTCCTGGAGGTTGTCCCCCCTCGCCGAGGCCCCCCCAGCTGGGCTCATGGATGTCCGCCCATCCCTCCCCGTCTCCCATCCCGGGACCATACAGGGGACACGGCTGGGTTTGGGACACACACCCACCCCCACCCCCACCCACCCCCCACACCCCCCCACACCCACCCACCCACCCACCCCGCCGCAGGACCCGCTGGAGGTGAGGTGGGTGGCGGTTGCCCCCCGGCTTCGTGGAGGAAATGGATCCCAAATGTGTGTGTGTGTGGTGGGGGGGGGGGGGGGGGGAGAGGGGGGACGGGACGAGGCACAGCCCCTCTCCACCCCCGCCCCCCGCCATCCTGCAGCCCCTCTGCTGCAGTGGGGGGGTTCCTGGCCGCCCCTGGGGCCACCTCGGCGGGGGTGCCGGTGGGTAATGCGGGGGTCGAGGGGAAGTGTGTGGGGGGGGGGGGTTCCGCCCCCTTTCTCCCCCCCCGGCTGGAGGGGCGGCGTGGGGCTGGGGCGGGGCGGCCGGGCGGAGCGAGGGGGGGCTGGGGTGGGGGGGCTCGGCCGGCCGCGGGGCTCCGCCGCGGGCAGCATGACCG